GTAGGAAAGGAATAAAAAAAAAGTCACGAATTCTGTCAAAGCAAGTTTGTGGCTTTTATCTTAACGAATGTTCCCGCACGCAGCTAGCCAATATTGGCCCAGGTCTAATGGAGAGTATCTTCATCAGAGATGAAAATGCATAGTGTAATATTCTACCCCAGAATAGTGTGAAACTTTTATAATGGAGCCCCCAAGCTGTGGACAAATCATTCAGTTTCATTAGACTCCCAATGTGTGAATGTCTTCATTCAACCATTTCCAGTGAGTGAGCTCATCAGAACCTGTGTACGATCGGGTTACACACGGAATTGTTCAAAAGTTGGTGGTTTGTGTGTTCAATCAGTTGTTTTAGGGTATGTCTCTGCTTGGAGCTAACACACTAGAGTACTCGTGTAGCCTCGGGAGCACAGGCAGCAGCGAGCGGCGGCAGGTGCTTGTGGTGCCGAGTTACATACCCATGATGTTCAGGCAGGTTTGTTATCAGAGGAGCTAGCTTTGCTGCTCACCTGTTGACCTGCTCACCTTCCCAGTTACACTCCTGCTTTTAGTGTACTAGCTCGCAGAGAGCTATCACTAGTATGTCTACACACGCTGGGAATCCCAATCCCAGCTCCGAGTGTAGACGTCCCCTTAGTTTCAATCGGCCTGTGTTTATGGCCTTCCTCTCCACTAGAAATCACCAGCTTGTGACTTGGTTTCAGGACAAATTCATGCAAAACCACAAATTTCAAAGATATCCTCTGTATAATTCTTCCACCTCTTCTGACTTGTAGAGGCACCCCAATGAATAGATGGCCAAACTCCTTTGCCTTTGTCTGACCTAAGATGGCCCCAAAACACAGCCCTGGCATAGGAGCACTCTGCTTTCTAGAGAGTTTGGAGCCACTTCTCAGCTTTGCACATTAGGCTGAACTTCACTGTGTATTCAAAGCACCATGCTAATTGTTGGCGCCCAGTACAATAAATAATACACTTCCAGTTCGAGACCATAACGTCGTCCCAAGTTCACACCAAACTGGACCCTGCTTCTCTCAAGCGGCTTCCAAATCTGGTCAGAGATTTGAGTTTGTAAGAAAACTTCAACGTGGGTAAATTTCCTGTGTTTTTTGGCTTCGTTGTGGGCATTGTTCTAGTTGCAGGGTTGTGTTTTGTGCAGTCCAATATATAGTAAGTACGTAATGAACAAAGCATTTGAAAGCAACCTCCACTTGTCTCCAATGTGTGTGCTGTTTAGCATGCTGTCTGTCTCCAGGCTGCATGCTGTAGGAAGTAGATTCACTGACTCTCTCTCAGAGGAGTTCTGAAAGGAGAGTTTTGTCCAGAAAGAATGGTGATTGTATTTTCAAGAGATAAGTGGGTGTCTATTTATTTAAATGCCTCTTGAGAAGCAATCCTATTTCATGCACAAATGGGGTGTGGATGGCTGGTGGTGGAGCGTATGATGCTAATGACTTGCAGTAGGAAGTGATCTTGATCCAGTGGTCAATGGTGCATTATATGCATGGCTCCATGTTGAGCGTGTTTGGAGATGCACCATCCTAGAGGGAGTTCTTGAAGGAATGCTGGGCCTTAGGGAGCAGAATTTCTCCTAGAGTGCCCAGCGCATTGTGATCACTGATGCACTCCATCAGAGGGAGCAGTATATTACACCATCAACTATGGCTCCACCTTCAGACCTTTCTGCACCCAAGGGGTCACAGACGGAGAAATCCCTGTGCTCTACTGATCACAGGGACTGTATTGCCTGGTGTATGCAGATGGGGGACGGGGGCGGGGCTGGGGCTCAGTGTGCAATCACTATACATCCACGTAAGGGCTAGTCTCAGTGTGGTGCATAATGAAATCTGTCTTGATAAGGGAGAAAAGTTAGAATGGAGAGTTGTAAAGAATTGTAGTGAGGTACTGCGCACCCTTAATTCGTAACGGACTCTTTTGCCAAAGGGATGCTGATTCATTACCTCGGTCCTAATTGTGGCTCTGCCAGTAGGTTTCTGTGTGGCCCTGGGCAAGTCACTTAACTTCCCTATGCCTCATTTTACCTGTCTATAAAGTGAATCTGATACTGTCAAACCCAAGCATTAAAATACGAGTCAAGCCCTAAAAACCATGAAATTGTTTAAAGATCATGAAACTTTTTTTTAAAACTGATAAATCTGGGGTTCTTTTTCTTTCCTTTTTGGGTGCTGAGCCGTTTGGGTGTAGTTGAGTCACATTCTGAAGGTTTTAAGATGAGATTTTCGTGAAATAACTTGACTCCAGGAGCCAGGTCTTGACAAAAACAGTCATGGGGTTGAGGGGAAAATTTGGGTAAACAGAGTTTTAACCCATGTCTCATTTGGGACATATGGAGTTCAGCTTATCCACTTCTTTTTATACCACTACGCTACAGAAGAAAAATACGAAATATCATGAGATTCGTAAGAGTTGGCAACAGGGATAATACCACCTACCTACACGGGGGTGTTGTGAGGCCAGATTCATGTAATGTTTGAGACACTCTAAAGGAAAGCACCACAGAAGTGCAAATGATTATTTTTTGTCTCTGATACTTATATGGCCCCCAGTACAGTAGTGTCTGAGCATCTCACAATATTTAATGCGCTTATGCTTACAAAACCACTGGTAGGGAAATGCTATTATCCCCATTTTACAGATGAGGACTGAGACAAAGAGAAACTTAGGGCTTGTCCCACATGGAACTTTAGTGTGAGGCAAACCAGAGCATGAATTTACCGTGCACTAGTTTGCCATGCAGTAATGTCCTATGGGGCACAGTATGCTAACGGTTCTGTAGTGAATTCTGACCTACTCCCGTTTGGTGACAGCCAGGGCACTGTAGATTAACACTCTGGCTTGCTGTGCACTAATATCCCATGTAGACAGGCTCTGAATGACTTGCTCAAGGTAAAATACTGTGACCGGTTGGATCACAGAAAACCCCTTGGGAACTGCCAACTGATGTGCTGAGACTACCCCGGAGCCTGTTTCCCCTGGCAGCTTGGGACTTCAGTGCCCTGCCTGGTTTGAGCCAGACACGCTAGCCTGCTACAAACCCAGACCCAGGTCTAAACCATGTCCTCCAAACGCCGCAGGCTTCACTGCAAACAGCTTAAGAAGTGTTCCTGTGTCTAACACTCAGCTGCCCAGTTCCCAAGGGGGTCCAAACCCCAAATAAATCCGTTTTACCCTGTATAAAGCTTATACAGGATAAACTTTTAAATTGTTCGTCCTCTATAAGACTGATAGATATGCACAGCTGTTCCCCCCCCCCCCCAGGTATTAATACATACTCTGGGTTAATTAATAAGTAAAAAGTGATTTTATTAAATACAAAAAGTAGGA